TCGGAACGGGGTGCGGGGACGGCAGGGAGGGGCATCAGGTGGCTGGGCGGCTGTGCGGGGGCTGACCTGCGCCGCTGAATCCGCTCGTCTGGCGCGCCAGTAGGTCCGGGTCCACGTCAGACGCAAATGGCTTGTCCTGGTCGACAGGGGTGAGGTGGTGTGTGTGGGTGGGGCATGGAGGTTGTTGAGGCGGGGTGTGTGGCTGGCAGGAGAAGTGCACGGGAGGGGGGGCTGCAGGAGTGAGGGGGCACCAGAGCGGCACGCTGGTGATGCTGGCTGCGGCCTGCAGCATCTTTCTAGCAGTCAGGGGCCGGTGCGCGCTGCTCCTGCTGCGGGAGCTGCAGAGGCACGTCGAAATTGCAGTAAAACGGATCACCAAGATATAGTGAGGGATAACAACGCTCACCTTCATGTAATACTGCAGGATCTCGCTCCGCCCCTTCACATCCGGCAGGGGGACGGCCACCTGGAGAGATCACGGGTCGAAAGGTGCGATGGGCCGGCTTTGCTGGGCGTCGCACGTCGCAGTCAACCTAGCTGTCCTGCCTGGCTGTTGAGTGACTCACTGATGTCAGCTGAGCTGACGCAACACAGGCCAGGCTCGCGTCAAGGGGATCCCCGCCAGCGCTGCGGAATGCTGCACAGAACTACACTTCCAGAAAAAATCGGTCGGTCGCAGCGGCCCGTGGCCGCGGCAACAGGCGAAAACGGCGCCCAGAAGGATCCTGTCGGACGCTCGGCGCTCCGCCGCGGCGCCCGCGGCGCCGGCGGCCGAAAGCCAGTTATGTGGGGGCTGAGGGGGCTGGCGCCGCGCGCGGGGCGCGCGCACCTGGCGGTCGAAGCGGCCGGGGCGCTTGAGGGCCGGGTCCAGGGTCTCTGGCAGGTTGGTGGCCGCCATCACGATGACGCCCTGGCAGGTCGGTTGGTTGCCGGCGGGCGGGGCGGGTCGACATCGTCGCATTAAGGAGGCACGCCACCCCATGGCATGGGTCTAGGCGGTCGTAACGTTGAGGGATGTTCACAGGGCAGCGGCGTGCTGCGTTCCTCGTGGCATGCACGTGGCGCACTGCAGCCACTCGCGCCCCCCTCACACAATCACAAGACTAATCAGATCGGGGCGTGATCACACCAGATCAGATCAGATCAAATCGTGCGTGCGCGCCCACCTCGTTGGCCTCGAAGCCGTCCATCTCCACCAGCAGCTGGTTGAGGGTCTTGCGGGTGTGGTTCTCCCAGTGCTTGCGGTTGCCACCAATGGCGTCAATCTCGTCTGGGGTGTTGTATGTTCAGGGGTGCAGGGGCGAGCGTACAAGAGACAGTGTGCGCGCGCGTGCGGGCAAGGCCTGAGGACGACGCACACAATTTTGGGGCGGCGACAGCAGCTTCCAGGTCCCCCACCTGTCGAGGCGCAGCGAACAAACCACCAGGCCGTTCTAGGCGCGACACAACGCAGGGCTAGGCAGGCCTGGTGACGTCATCGGGCAAAGAGGCACCGCCGGCATGGGGTGTAAAAGGCTCCCCCCCCCCCCGGCCGGGCGAGCGCGTGTCACGAGCCGCGCCACTGCCTCACCTATGAAGACGATGCAGGGCGCCTTCTTCTTGGCGGCAGCAAACAGCGCGCGCATGCGGCGGCTGCCCACCCCAACATACAGCTCCTCAAACTCTGACCCAGCCCTGCGCGTTGGGGTGGTTGGTAAAGTGTATGCATGTGTGTGTATGTGTGTGTGTGTGTGTGTGTGTGTGTGTGTGCTTGTGTGCGCACGCGCGCGCGCGTGCGCGTGTGTGTGTGCAAGCCGAATCGTCAGGTGTGGGCGAATGCACGGCACTGTGCGAACGAGGGGCCGGCAGTGCAGGGAGATGCGGAGAAAGAGCGCGTGCATGCAGGGGAGCGGGCGCGACGGCAATGCGTCAGAGCGAGCAGACAGGCTCACGAACGGACAAAATATACTGTTGGTTCGTGGGATTGGTTGGCTCGCGCACCTGTAGAAGAAGGGCACGCCGGCTTCGCCCGCGACGGCGCGCGCCAGGAGGGTCTTGCCCGTCCCTGGAGGCCCCGTCAGCAGCACGCCCTGCGCATAGGGCCCAGTAAGCACATGGCAGGTTTTCACAGGAGACAGAGGTTCGATCCCGGATCACGGCGCCGCAGCGTTATAACGAGGCCAGGGGCCCTACATAGCACCTAGCCGGCCCAACGCCCAGCTATACCCCCCCAAGACTGGGCCGCGCCCCAGCTGCAATCGGGCCGCCCAGCGAAGCGCAGCCCCGGCCGCGGCGGCTGGCCAAACGCCGCACCTTTGGCAGCTTCGCGCCCAGCCGCGTGAACTTCTCTGGGCTCTTCAAAAACTCTACGACTTCCTGCAGCTCCCCCTTTGACTCGTCGCACCCCAGGACGTCCTTGAAGCTCTTCACGCTTTTCTCAGGCAGCTCCTCCTTTTTATACTCCTTCGGATCCAATGCAGGCGTGCCCCCGAGCCCGCCGCCCGCGGCAGCGGCGGCTGCGGCCGCGGCCTGCGACGACGCCGGCGCGCCC